GCCGAGAATACTGACTAATTTGTCAATCAAAATGTTTTCATTTTCAATAACCTCTGTGTCACTTTCTTCACTATCGGAAGCGAATTATAATGACAACGAACTTGATTTAAATCATATCAAATACGGAGTATATCGAGATGAATTACTACATTTAGTAAGGAATTATAAGCCAAATAAAATAAAAAAATCTGCTCTGAAGATAAGGATAGTGCTGACAGATCAACTTCCAATTCATTGCGCGCCACCGCGTTGCTCCCCCCCTCCTGCTGCAGAGCAGCGTGAAATTGATAAACAGATTTCGGATTTCAAAACATACGTTCACTTTGTAAATCCTTTTCATATTAGTAAATATATATTGGAGATTCTATTTGACATAATCGAAAGTTCAAGCTTACTTTTATAAAATTGCTCTAACAGTCTGCAAAAAATAATAAGCTGGATCCAATTTGAAGATTAAGGAACAACGCAATCTGCAACATTAACTGAATTAGATAATTTTATCTTAGCTTATACCGTCCGTTATACATTAAACGTGCATGCGTAAATGTATTATGCGCTTGCGCACACGCAAATTCGCAGCCGTAAAGGTCTTCCGCGCACGCATAAACGCCTATGCGTTCATCTCGACGCATGCGCAGAAAGTTTGTAGCTTTGAGGTCCGGATTATGGGTGTTCGAATTAACGACTTTTGACTGTACTGTATATTTCTGAACATAAGCCAAAAGATAAGATTTTACTGCAGATATTCAATCAAAACTGAAGAAACTGAACTAAAATATCTTATAAGGCAAATTTAAATTTGGCCAATAAATTCAGCTATGCATTGCAAGAAATTTGAATAATTAGTTGTCTGATTTAGTTAGATTCATCACATGAGCTGAATATGAGTTTTATGTCTTTATTTGTTTGAAAAATATGTCAGACACGACCATTCCATTATTAAAAAAAATTTTTGCATCTTCAGTGCTGCGAAAATGATACTATCTGTGAAGCAGATGATGACAGTGTTAATGCTGAAATAAAGGCTGATGTCATTCTTTCAGTTTTAACTGTAACAGATAAAGAATAATTTCAAGAATTGCTTGAAAATTTGGAGTTATATTCTAGTATTAAGAAATTTGATTAATATAAGAATTAAATAAAATAAAAAATAACATTTTAACATTAATTTCAATTATTTATTTTTGTGATCAAATTTTTATAAATCATTTTAAATTCATGTTTAAGATGACCAAACAACAGTAGTAAAAAATTACTAAAAATGATCATCTTTCTTATCTCATCCTTTTTCATTCTCATCAGAGAAAGATATAAATCATTTTGAATTTGTAAATAAACTGAGTTTTAAACTTCAAGAGCAAAACAAATGCTAAAAAATACTGAGTTTGCTTAGGGAAATTTTAAGGATTAAATATATTTTCAATAAGATTTGTTAAATATCTTAGATTTTAGTGAATTGTAAAGATTTCATTAGATATTTAATAAAAACTTAAAGCAAAGCATTGAGGAATATGGGGCCTATTTTGTTTTTATAAGAAAAAATTAATCTTATTAAGATGCTGTTATTTAGTACTGAAACAAGAGCTACAGAAGAGAGTAATTGTAAAAGAATTTGAAATAGATTTCTATTGTATTGAGCACATGAGTAAAATTTTGTTTCATGTTTATTCTGACATCTTTCAAAGTTCACTGAATTCATAATAAAATGTGCATTTAATATAAAAAATTGCATGATAATATATAAACGGTGAACTTATTTCAAATACTTATATTTAATTTTAAGAAACAAAATAACTTGATCAAATATTTAGATTTTAAACAAAACTTTATGTAACTGATATCTGTTAACTGTAATGAGGAATTTAATTCATAATAGTATATGTCCCCTCAGTTTACATTAATTGATGAATGAATTATACTTATTCATACTACTTTGCTTACTTAATGTGATTTTATCTGGCACATATTATTTGGTAAATTTATTAACTGTATAAGGTGAAATTTCCCTGTATTTCAAATTCTGTACCATTAAAATGTCTTCAAAAGCTGTAGGAATACTTATTTCTGAAGAGACGATTGTATAAACCTTTAGTGACGTTTGAGATTTGCAATTACAAATTATATAATTATGTTTGTCAGTTTTGGAAAATGAGAACAGAATTATTTTAAGAGGGAAATAAGCTGTATGATTCATATGAATCATGTTCTGTATATATATATAGGACACTGAATGCATAACTTGCTATTCTACCTGTGTTTGTTTACAATAAAGATATTTTTCAATACTTGTTGATTTTTACCGGCAACCTGCAATCAGTCATCAAAATAATATAACAAACTCAAAACCAAATAATAAGAACTGCATTTTGTTTAATTCAAAATTATGACATTTTTTAATTTACCATCAAGTGAAAATTAAGCTATAAAGTTATCATAATCTTCCAAGAAAGGACTATTTTAGCCTCACTAAAATTTGCAAAAAAGGTATATGAAATGAAGTTACGTATCACTTGGAAGCACTATGAAGATTGAATGGTAAAGTAGGGTTTGCATTTTTTTAAATTAAAGTAAATTATAAGTTTTTTTAACATTTTTATTAATTTTTTAGTGGTTGCAAGGTTAAGCCATTCTTTCTTCCCAAATATGCATGACATCTATCTGCTGTACATTTTTAATACAAGCTGTGTTCATTTCCCCCAACTGCACTCTGTAACTGGAATGGGAGCTGAGCTCATTAATCACTATCAAAAGGTTAAAACTCCATTGTTTACAAGCGCCTCTTTTTTGGAAAGGAGGGCACCTAAACTGGTGACATTTTTTTTCCTTGCAACTTCTTCCAGTGTCACCAGTTTAACCAGCAAATACCTGTTTTTCAATAAATTCCTGAGATATAAGTGTGTAATTCTTGTTGCATGTGTATCTGTGATTATGTATAAAACAATATATGCTCTTCAAACCATATCAAATTTTATTTAAAAAATTATTTTTAAAAATCATATCTTGAATAATTTTGAACTAAATTTGATAATGTCATCATGAAATTTGTTTTCTATGAATATGTACCAATATAATTATAGTAGGCTTCTATTTTAAAGCAGTGATGTTAACAAACCAGTTCACATGCAATACAGAAGTTTCACATGCTATTAAGTTCCAGAGCAACTTTATCTAAGCAAACTGATTCTTAAAACTGTACTGGAGTATTTATTCAAGCAATTTATTATTGATATGTTACTGGCAAAGTTTGAAATCCAGCATTCTATAGAATACCTAGGCATTGTATATAATGCCTAAAACTAGCTGTAAATGTATGAAATGATTCATATTTCACACATTTCCAAGGCATTCTATAGAATGACAAATGGCAAACCAGCAAAGTATGAAATGCATTTCTGATTTGTTTCAAAGGACTGAACTACTTTTCTGAAGTTAGTGAATAATGTAAAAAAGCCAAAATGACTACTAAGAAGGAACCACGTGACTACTGGCCACTGAATTGCTAGGATGAGATGTTTGTAGAAAACAAAGTGCATTCCTTTACCCTGTTAAAGCATTATTACTATACAGCATTACATCACGGATGCTGAGTAATTTTCCATATTTCATGAAAACTCATTTGAGTACTGCACAGGAACGATGTGACAGAATGTCGAAAGAACTTTCAACCAATTACAAAAATGTTACATGTAATTCTATTGAACTGTAACGACCACCTTTGTGAGCCCTGCCAGAAAAAACAAAAAGGTATTAAAAAGGGCACTGATGTGAAACTTACGATTGTTTCTGAATTTAACTTCCATTGTAAGGTAGATCTTACCGATTCCCCCTCTTTTTTTTTTTTTTTTTTTTTTTTTTAAAACATATTTCGAGGAATAGTTTTTTTTAATGGCACTCTTTCGTTAATTTTTCAAAATAACATTTGAATTTTAGAGAAATGAACGTCTTTTAAATAATAACCTTATCATAACCCTTTTTTTCATACTTTGCCTAAAGAGCATCTGTCATTCTATAGAATGCCTAGGTAAAGTATGTAATATAATTCTCATATTTCATACTATGCCCGTAACAAATATAACTAACTGTTACTTCTTTAGACAATGAACTTGTTACATTATTCTAATTTCACTATTGTTATTAAAGTAGTCAGATACTTCTATTTAATTTATCTTATTTTTCAATTAATACATTAAAGTGACTGCACTTATGTCTTTTAGGGCATTTCTGCTGCATAATCACCACTTCTAAAATTACTGAAAAGTTATCACCTTGATGTCATGCTGTAAAACTGCACAGTATTTTTTACAACACCAGTTTTAATTAGTCTGATATCTGACACTGATGATTAGCCAAATATGTATTAATATTGGAAATATGTTGCATATATGAATCAATTAATCAATGTAGTATGAGTATTCTCTAAAGAGTGTATGCATAATCATATATAAGTATTGAAAAATTACTCATTAATACAATCAATATAGGTGGAGAGTGTTTCTAATACACTCTCCATCTGTATTGATTTTATAATAAAGGTCTGAAAATCTGTACTAAGTATGATTGTGTTTTCTGAACCTATAAATAAAGTTACTCTTTTTATAAGTATTTTTCAAATATTCTCTCAGTATATTCATCACGCTGGTAATAAGAAGAATGCTGAGACACACATGATATTTTTCCCTAAAAGGGAAAAGAATCATTAAATAAAGTAGTTAGATTCCTGCGATAAATGATATTTGTTGAAAATTAGAATATAATAAACAATTTAATTGTCAGCAACTATTACAGGACCAACTGTAAAGCATGCGTGGCACATGTGCATTTGCTCAAGGTGACAAAATCTGAGGAACAGGAAAACTGGCCTAAATTAAATTTAGGCAAGAGAGTGGCAAAATATACTGTGGTTTAGGGTTACAATTTCTTTTTTTAATTATTATTCTTAAATACATTTAATTAAATTATAATTTTTTTCTTTATTAATTAGTATGCATTTAAAATTCCAGGCTATTCAAGAAGATGAAGCTTTTCAACAAGCTGTACGTACTAGTTATGGAAAGAGACCCATTGTAAGTTTGCTCTTTTTTACCTGTTTTTATATTAGAATATTAAATTCAAATTAATATATATATATCAACTTGAAATTATATGTTTAAATTAACTTGCTATACTTTAAACGTTTAAACATATAAAAGGAAAAGAAAATTTTAAAATGTAATTTTTTATATTGCATCACAGCCATAATAGTGATGAAGATCTGCTTTCTTTTAACATGGTATTTTCAAATTTTAAAAAAAATGCATTTAAAATTCATTTACAATTCTAGAATTTATATTGTTTAACAAAATTTATTTACGATTCTAGAATTTATATCGTTTAACAAAATTTACAGAATTTTCTGCACTGATTATCCCAATACATTAAGAGACAATTTCCAGTGGTATAATTGTTTGAAATTTTTCTTTTGTTACATAGTTATATGTAATTTGGTTTATACATAGGTTTATAATTATTAATTTATAATTTTATTCATTGTTAGTTATTTTATACATTTATTTATCATTTCTTCTTTTGCTGGATTCCCCCCTAAAGAAATCATATATGTAAAACAAATTGTTTCTACATTCATAAGTGATTGGTGCTAAAAGTTTCAGAATCATTGTTTCACACTATTCATATTATGCAGAACTTTGTGAAATAACAAGGTGAAAGCAATAAATGTATCCATGAAATTTCTTAACAGTTATTCATATGACATGAATTATTCAGAATAAAACAACTCGGAAATTTCGGTGGGAGAGGGGAGAGGTTACACAGCTGTTTGCAAGGTATGTGGCTTCATCTGAAAGAAGATTTTTTTTTAAGTTCTAATTCATTGTCAAATCTTTGTACCATGCTGACAGCACTGATAATCCTATGTAGGTTTATCCAAAAAAAAGTTTACAAGGAGAAGCATTTGAAACATAATAATTGTGGAGAGAATATTTCCACCCAGGGTAATTGACAGATGGCGCTAGTTGTCCTACAGCGGTTCTACGAGTAAGTAGCATCAGTACACAGACACTTAAGAGCGACAGTAATGGCACGACGTCTAAAAAAGTGGTCTTGCATAGAGGTGCAAGCCGTAATTCGATTCTTATGGGCCAAGAATGTGGCCACATCCGAAATTCACAGACAAATCGTTGAGGTATACGGGAACAAAGCAATGAGTAGACAACAGGTAGCGAAATGGTGTTGTTCTTATCAAGCGGGCAGGGAGCATGTGGAAAACTGCAATATGGAAGCAAGCGGCCGTCCAAGTTCTTCAAGGACGGATATCAACATGGCACGTGTTGAAGAAACCATCCAAAGGGATCGACGAGTAACCGTGCTTGAGATTGCCTCAGAGTTGGACCTGAGTTATGGTAACGTTCAGCGTATCGTAACCGATGAGTTGCGATATTCCAAAGTTTGTGCCCGCTGGGTTCCACGTGCGTTGTCCGCGGAGCATAAGGCCACTCGAATGATGTGCAGCCTCACATTTCTTCAGCGATACCATTCAGACGGCCAACACTTCATTGATCGCATCGTTACCGGTGATGAAACATGGCTTCATCACTTCACCCCCACATCCAAAAGAGCCACGATGGAGTGGAAACACGCTGGATCACCGACGAGGAAGAAGTTTAAGGTCACACCCTCTGCCGGTAAAGTGATGGCAACCGTTTTCTGGGATACGACTGGTGTTATCCTAATCGAGTATTTGGAGCGTGGCCATACCATTAAGGCCGATCGTTATTGTGCCACCTTAACGAAATTGCGTAAAGCCATCCGACGCAAACGGCCTGGATTACTGAGCAAAGGCGTCATTCTTCTGCATGACAATGCCAGGCCCCATACAGCTCGCCAGACTCAGGAATTGCTGCAAAGGTTCAAGTGGGAGGTCTGGAATCACCCCCCATACAGCCCCGATTTGGCTCCAAGTGACTATTTCATTTTTCCGGCGTTGAAGCGATACTTATCCGGAACACGGTTCACCTCAGACGATGCAGTGAAAACAGCTGCCGAGAAATGGCTCAATGAGCAGGGCCCTGATTACTACCAAGACGGGATAAACAAGTTGGTTGAACGTTCTGACAAATGCCTAAACAGGTTTGGTGACTATGTGGAAAAGTGAAAGCCAGATGTGTCTCTTGATTCCCATTTATATCTTGTTTCTATCGTTAATAAATACTTTTTCATTTGCCTTGTAAACTTTTTTTTTTTTTTGGATCATCCCTCGTATATTCCTTCCACAGTGATTCATTTGAATTTAATTCCTGAATTTTATAGGGATGTAATCTCAGTTTATTATCCTTGATGTCACATGCATACGCATAACCTTCTAGAATGACTAAATTAAATTAAAGTACTTTCAACACATACTTCACAGTGACCTAATATCACCATCATTTTTTGAGAATCCTGGACAGTAATCATAGGACCATGTCTATAGTACCTTATGTACATTTTATGAGAGTAATTTTCTTTTCAAGTGGCCATTTTAATATGTGAAATTTGCCTGGTGGCATAAATTTAAAATAGCATTAATGAAAGCTTGATTTTAATGTATGGAAAAGGAATTTTAATGTGAATAAAAGTTTAAAGTAGAAATGATAAAAATGTGGGTACTTTTCTGTTATTGGGACCAGATTCAAAAATGTATGTAATTATGTATATGCATACACATACACACACAAATACATACTTACATGTACACATGCATACATACATTTCTGAATCTGGTCCTGATAACAGAAAAGTGCTAAAATGTGTACAGTCTTATAGTTTTGCATTATATTCTGAATTACCATTAATGCTGATCTTGTGCATAACAATATATTTGTAATTATTAATGACAGCACAAGTGTAGTTACAATTGTCCAGATAGCAGTCAACAGCATCAATTATGTGTCTATATGTCATTGACTTTTCCAACAAAATTGCATTATAACTGTGTATTTTCTTGGTGGATTGAGAAGGTTTATAAAAATGAAAAACATAGATTTAAAAATGGTTCTTTTTTTTATTCTAAAACTGATTTAAATTTTAAACTTAGAAATTTATTATCTGGCAATTTTAATATATTTTACTGCAAACTATGTATATTTTATTAACAACTAAGTTTCTTTTATTATTTATGTGAATTAGAAACTTGTTTCTTAAGTTTATTGTTACAGAGAAAATACACTTGCTTAGTTCATATTCTCTAAATGTGATTAAGAATAAATATTTTTTAATGATGCATGAGGCTGTTTGTTTAGAATTAGAACTTCTGCAATCATCCTAATTCTTAACAAATAGCCACATTCATTATTAAAAAAAAAAGTTTATTTCTACAAGTAATAAACTGTAATTGTAAGAGAGAGAAAGACAGCAGAGCTGATCATAATTCAAAGTAAATTTCCAGTTTAAATAGTCTTACTGGCAGCTTGCAAAGTTTAAAAAATTAATTTTTAATATTTTAAATGTAATGCATAAATATTTAGCTATATTAATGAACCTGCAGAAGGCAACAATATTTCTGTGTTCAGCTTTGAAAGTATCATTCCAAGGAGGAGTAATAATAATGATACTAATAGAAAAATATAATAATTATTATAAACATAGTTGAAAATGCTTTAAACAATTTTGAATATCTAGTTTGAACGAAGTATTTTTTAATTTTAGGATACGAGAGAGAATGTCTTCTGACATTATATTTAAGAATATAAATTTTAATCATAATCTAGATAAATTTAAATCATGGTTTCATTTATATATTCTTTTTCTTTTCAAAACATTTCAGCCAACAGCTAAAGTTCCTGGAACATCTCGTCTAACTGCATCACGAGGAGGTACTGGGGTAAGTATACTTAATAAAATAAATAAAGAAAGAAAATAATAACTACGTAAAATTTTTTATTTCCAAAATGCTTTCATGAGTGTAATATTGAAGAGTATATTTTTTATGTATAATAAAAAATTAACATGAATGAATCTTACAGCAAAGAATATTTTTTCATAAACCTTCACATTTCTTTTTGTAAGAATTCTAAATACCATATTGTAAGGATACTCAAAAATTTTATTCTTGATATAAAGTGGCATCCAGCAATTTGAATCATTAGAAATGCTTGTTTCTCATTTACTATATACATAGTTGAGTATAAGTAATTTTCTAGGATTAATAATTTTGTATTCAGAAATAATAATTAGTTTTTTACTTTAATGAAATCAAAGTATGTTAGGTTAGGTCATTTAATTACAGCAAAGCCTCGAGGGCTATTTGCCTAAGGGGAGGGATGCCTTCGTGGAGGACTTTCTAAGGGAAACTGGCTCGTATACACGTTACGAGTTATGTACATATATTGAAAGGCTTCAGTTATATATCCTTTACATATACTCTGCACTAATTTTGTTGGTGTGCGTTAAATAAGTAAATGATTTCATTTATTAATAAATATACTAATTCAGGAAATACTTTCATACTAAACCTTTCTTGTTAAGCCATAAATTGTACACAAGTAATTTGAAACAGTAAAAAGTTTCCCTTAGTAAATCATCTAAAAAATGAAATTTAAAAAAAAGTGTAAAATTTCAATAATATTAATTTATAATCAACAATTTTTAAAATTTAGTCAAAATTTTATTTGTTTGATTTTGTAATCAAAAAATTGTATTCTTATCAGTTTTACATATACTATATGTATAATGTACTTTAAATAATTGTCTTGTCAGTGTTAGTGGTAACATAATAAAAGTATTTTACAGTTCCAATAGCATTTGTATTATTCTTGTCTGTATGTGCATTTGTTATGAATTGCTTTGATTCATAGTATATTGTTCGTTGAATTTAGTGTATCCTGCTTTTAGTTTAAATTCTAATACTAAGGATAGCATTGGTCGAATTATTTCTAATAAATACCAAATTCAAGCATTCTTTCCATCTGCATATGATATTCTGATTTACTTATTTTCATAATTTTTTATCATTAATAGTGGGGTCGTTCTATGGTACCTTCCTCTTCCGGGTTGTCCTCTGTCAGTTCCCAAGAAGCTCTTACCCGTCCAATGACCGCTGTCCGTGGTGCTGGCTTTACATCTTCTGGGCGAGGTAATTAATTTTCAGTGTAAGATATACATGTTTCTGTATTTTTGTTGATTTTAATATGCATTTAATACATACTTATTTATATACATATCTGTAAAGAAACCAATTTTTAGTATTGTATGTTATGTATAAAAATATGTAAATGAAAATTCTAACTTGAATTTGCAATAGCCCCTTAAGTTTTCATTTTAATTTGAATATTTCCTTTCTCTATTCTAAAAATAGCAATTGCTTATAATAGCATTCTCTGGACTAAGTCATTTCTAAATTAATCCATATCATGTGACTTCTACTTAATGCTGGTGACATAAATGGTTTTGTAAAGTAAATCCATAACAGCCAATAATAATTTTAGAGCTTCATTAATTATCCAATCAAAATATAGTGAAACTGAAACTAATCCTCTCTGAATTAATATTTCGTCCTGCACACTTTGCTTCTACTCGGCCTAGCACTGCTCTCTTACTGCTGTGATATCAAAAATTTAGATATTCTAATAGGAATGATGATGAATGTGCAAAGTTATTTGTTGCCACAAATGCCAATGAAAATAAAAATGAAATTTTAAATTTCCCACTAATGCTTCTCATCAAATATTTTGCTTCTGCAACAACTATTTGGTGCTTTAATAAACCTCATGTTTGCAACATTCACAAATCATCACATGTGTGTATGTATATGTGTGTATTTAAAAGTAAATAAATAAAATATTATTCCTTCTTTTGCTTCAATGAGCATCATTTTTTATATGCATATATATATATATATATATATACTACTGTTCTTAAAAAACAGAACATGTAGAGGGGATGTAGCTAAAATGTGCATTTTTGTGGGATACGTAAAGTAAGCAATGTAGAGCAAATGTTTAGCAAATTGAATACTAGATCCCAGCTGTGATGTTCTCTGCACTGACTGAAGCAAATGCCTTTTTTGTATGATATCATTCATAAACAATGCGTTGGCTATTGATATAAAAGTCTTTCTCAATAAGCTTTCTGTACATCATTTGCCATATTAAAAATGTTTCAGCATGGCTGAGCTTGAAACTGTTAACTTAGAAATTTTTCTTGCACTAAGCAGTTACAAGAAAAAAACTGATTCTGTGATACAGTTGTTTTCCCTTTTCAGCTCTACATTGGTTTCCTATCAATAGTTTTAATCTTTAAATTATTTTCAGAGGTTAGAATTCATCAGTTTTGAAGCATTCAACCATCTTAGAATTTTCATAATTTTCTACCCTATTTCTAACTAGCCAATAGCTATTTAGATTAAAAGATTCTTATAAATTACATTTTGGCACTATAAAAATTTAATAAGTATTAAAATCAAATCTTGAATTGCAAAAGTTTGTGAAGAAACATATTTTGTGCTAAGTGCATGCTATATATTTTGATTATCTCAAGCCATTATTTGCATTTTGGAAATTATGAAATTGATCATATAGTGATTGCATATTTCATGAAAAAGTAAGCTAGAGTGATTGATTACTTCATGAAACATCATTATTTTTATAAACATAAAGATAATTTTGGACACCAGTGTATGTAATATCTTAGGAAATGTAATATACAGTACAAATTCTAAAATCCAGAATCCGCTATCTGGAATGTTCTAATATCCGAACCTCTGGATCACCAGCAAATACTTTTTTCCTACAAAGTTTAGGAATGAAGAATATAATACTTAAAAGGAAATGAAAATAAAAGCAGATGCGGCATAGTAGTGATTTTTCTCCTGACTAATTGAGATTCCTGCATGTCGCTTTCAAAGACCCATTGGCTAGGAAGTCACCATCTTGACCAATGACAGTGCATTGGTTGACATTAGCTACAACCATGCTTTTGATCTTAGTAGTTGTGGAGGCAGTTAACATTTTCCATCTGACCTAAACAATAAGTGAACCTCAAGACTTGTTTGTTTCGAGTGTGTTGTTCATACTGGTTTTCTTTTGTAAGGATAGCAGTGGGAAAGAGAGAAATAATTAGATTCCGAAGAACTGAAGTTCTGTTAGCATAGTAATCCGCACTTTTCTTTGACTTTCTAATTTGGTTCAACCCATTGTTTTTAAGGCTATTATTATTACAGCTGCATTACCAAAATTAAAGTTTGATACCATTACTGTGACAAAATGGTTTTTGAAAAAGAAAAGATTTCAATGGACAGTTTAGTAGAAATTCTCAATCCAGCAATTACAAGACTTGAACAATGGAACTCTGAACAAGAAATAATATCTATTTATAAAATTAAAGATGGATTAGCACAAACGATGAGATAACTTAAACAACTTACATTGAAAGAAATGTTTAGTAAAACAAATAAATAAATATTGAGTTTTTCCTGTGAACTTTGATTCCCTTAAGATCATAAATGCTTCATAATTTCCTATTTTTAATTTTGTAATTTCCACATATTATCTTACTAGAATTATGCTGACAATTTAATGTTCAGAAATTTCCAAATCAGGAATTTCCAAAATCCTAACAGTTTTGGATCTCTAACTTCATATTGTAGTGTAACTATTATTAATATTTTTTCCATTATATACTCACAAAATATTGTTGCATTTTATGGATTTGGGGATTTGTAGTGACTAATGACAACACTTGAAGAATCAAAACACAAATTGTTCACCAGTACTATACAGGACAGTGCCAGAGATATGTTTACAGCCATCCAAAAAACTGCGATAAATATGCTGGAACAATCAGCGACAGAGCTTTCAAGCTAATATATAGGTGAAGAAAGCTTCAGCTCCCGACTTTGGTCGCTCCCAGAACTCAAGACACTCAACATACTCTCAATACTCTTTCATGAGCTGCCTTTGAGAACATTCTTGAGAAAACCAACAAGAATTCGTTCTAGAATGTTCTCACTCCATTTATGGCATATTGACCCTTCCATCACCAACAGAGCGATATTGGTCAAATCTGGCAATCCTGTCTTTCCTTGCCATTTTCTGGTAACCCTAAACTTGTTTTACAGGAAAGCTATTTTACCGCAGCTGGGCATTTCACAGCAATATGTTTGCCTCTTTAAAATAATGAATAAAATTATACATGATCATCCATAAGGCTGATTTTTAAGCAATCTGATTGAATTCCGACTAATGTCCTTTTGATTAAGCTACAATAACACACCGAACAAATATTAATTTAGAAGTCAAACAGCAAAAATCAACGTTATATTTTCAAATTTTCACAGGACTAGTTTCGATGGTTTTACCAAACCATCATACTCAGCTGCAAAAGTGCAAATAATTTGCACTTTGGTATTGCACACATTAAAACATTATATGTTAAATATATATGTGTATAAAATAGGTACTCTTTTCATAAACATTAGATTTCAAATCAGTATTTATGTTTGGTGCTAAGTGCTATTAACAGAAAAGTAGCAATATTTTTAGAGTCATTTATAACCAGATATCATTCCTTTTAACTTCTTAACATGCTAAAAAATTTCAATTTTTTTCTTCAGTGCCCACAACTCCCCCTTCCCTTATTGTTTAAATTTTTTTTTGAAACTTTTGTATCAAATTTTATTTATTTTATTCAGATTTTCTGTAGTTACTTGGAAATAATATATGGAACATAATATGCCAAGCATACCATTCAGTTTTTTATGTAATAACAGTATATATAACATTTAATAATGCAACTCATATGTACAAATTACATAACTAGGTGACTATAAAAATTGTAATGCTTTTGCTGCAGTTTGCAACAAAAATTCATGAAGGGAGTAAATATAAACCATGCTTCATGACCAAAATATATTATTTGCATTTTCCTGAAAACATTTTCTTTATGTTATATCTTTATTTTATTTCAGCACCATCAGGTATATTTGACCCTCTCAATCAAGCAAAATCTACTATATCTCCTTTGCAAATGAAAGATGAAAACAGGTAATTGATTTGTATTTTGTTTTAATAAAAAATGTAAGTTTTAGAAATTTTCTTAAAAAAAGTGTAATTTTTTTTAAATTTAACATTTAGACATAAAATCTATATAAAATGCTATTTTTTGGCCTTATAGCAAATGTAGCTACTTTTCTTCTGTAGCTTTGTAGTGTTTAAACTTTACAAATAATATAATTTTAAAAATTAAATTTATTGCATTAATATAATTTTCTAATGCCCTATTAAGGCTTTTTTCAGTCATGAAACTCTGACAGAGTTATGTTACTTCAATTGAAAAATATGTGTATGTAGACGGAAACTTACCTTCTTCCTTTCTTAAATCTTAAGAATTTATTAGCCAACATTTTAAAGTCAATAAAAATGAAAAAAAAAAGTAGTTTTTACATATCAAACTGGGAGAGAGAATTTTTTTTTTACTTAGAAGAAGTATAATTATGATGATTCATCTGTATTATTAAATAATGAATAATCTGTATGTATTTTCTTGCATTATGGAAAAATGGTAAACCACCAAATTTTGACCACATGTAGTCCTCCACTTGAACATATGTGCCACAAAGCCAGAATTTTGAATTTGTTTTTTGATTTGCCTCATATTTTGTATGAATTTAATAAATTCTTGTTTAACATTTAACTGCTGTAAGCAGTCTGTCAGACCCCGCCACATTTTCCATTAAATGCTTCCACCCCTTAGAATAATTAATGGGTATTGCCATTCTTAGTACCTTCCTAAACCAGTTGTCCAAGGTCACATACCAAGTTGCATTTGGCTAGCTCTATTTCTTCTTTTATTTTTTAAAATTTTCCCCCCTCAGCGGTCTGTGGGACCGATCACAGCAGATACGAATTCAAATTTCAGACGATAAAGTTCACTTTTCGTTGTTGTTACATATTTCACTTTTTTATAAACATTCTTGAAATGGCTTCAAATGCGCACAGGAAACGTTCTATATATCTTACCCAAGACCAAATTAAATAAATAGTTCAAAAGTGCTCTAATTTACAGTTCTCTGAATGAAAGTTCCCATGATGAAATTATTGAGAGCGACCACGACACAAATTCAGAAATATCTACGGAGGAAAATGAAAATCCATGTTCTCCTTTTACAAGAGATTTTTTATTGGGAAAAATAAATTCAAATGGCCTATACAAGAGCCCAACAAGGGTGTTCGAACTCGTAGTCACAATATTATTCTTCGTTCAATCTATTCAACTGCTCGTTGAACCCGACATTGGCCTGTGTCAATATTCTTCAGAAACTTGGATATCTGGGCAATAAATGCATTTGTATTAATTCAATCTTATCCCATTGGCACCGAAAATGAAATGAAAAGATTTCATTAGCAATTCAGTTGGTGCAGTCTCATGTAAAATGGAGGATAACTTCATCATTTTTACCTAAAAAACTCAAACTTACAATAAGAAGAGTTTTCGAAATAAATGATGATAAACAAAACATTGCGATTGAAGACAATAAATTAGATAAAAAAAGAATGTGCTATATTTGTCCACCAAGCAAAAAAAGGAAAACAGCTTACAAATGTATAGCATGCAAAGAACCAGTGTGTCTACAATGCAGTAGAAAAGAATGTATAAAATGCAGTTCGAATTATAATTTTTAAAACAAAAATTAATTTCCCATGTTCTTATTAAAGCATTCTTATTGCAAATTTTAATGTAAAATAAAAAAGTTTAATTTTAAAATTTACTTTCTATCTAGATTTGCTATCTAAATTTACCATCTAGATACATAAGCGAAGGAATTATTATCATAGTATATATTTTAATTTAATGAAATGACTTAAGTATAAAAATTACTTTATATCTTCATGAAAAGTTAAATATATGAAATTAAATAACATTTATTCAAAGAAAATAAAACAATATCTTGTTTTGTTTTTAGCAGAAGCGGTCTGAGAGACCGCTCACAGTAGTTATGCGACAATTTAAGTTACAGTAGTTAAAGGTTAATTAACTCAGCATTAAAAAAGCAGTGTGGGTCAACTCTGCAGAATGTAAAATATTTATGTTTCAAATCTAAGGAGAAAACTCAGCAATTTAAAAGAAATATGATGCCCAATTTAAAATATTTGTATCTTCCACCCACCAGTTTGTTGCTATTTGGTAAAGCTAATTTTTTTTTTTTTCATATTTCATCTGTATTTTATTGATTAACAAAATAAGTTATTTAAAAATAATAAGCACAGTTCTTTATTTCTGTTGTTATTAATTACTATCCAGACCTGTGAACTCTAGCTGGACTTCTTAAAAGCTTTACATATTTTTTGTTCTTTTTTATTGTAACTATTTTAGGTGGTAGGACAATGGCTAATGTGTTTTAAATAATTAATAATGCTTCAAAGTGGAACAGTCTAACCTTGAGTGTGTTAAACATGACCCACGTTTCAGTAAAACAAATTCATATATATATTCAGTAAAACAAACTGAATTATTCATTAGAAAAATGCTTGAGAAACATAAAATTGTAATGATTATCATCATACACACACATACCAATAAAAAAGGAAGTTGAAGGGGAGACATAGACCCATATATATACCCAAATCCAGAGTTGGGAAATATGTAATTGCAGTTACAATTACAATTGTGTTGTAATTGTAGTTCTAGCATGTAACTGCAATTAATACATTGTAATTGTAATTAGATTATGCAGTTACATTGTAATTACTGTTGCAGTGTAATTGCTCTTTCAATTGCAATTACATTGTAATTGCAATTAAATTGTAATTATGGTTAAATTGATATTGGAAATCTGATAGCAATTACATTCTAATATAATCACAAGGTAACTGCATAATCTAATTACATTGTCGTAGTGAAGTTTAATTATAATTACACAGCAATTGCATTTGTTGCTGGTTTGTTGTGGTGTCCATTATTACATGGAACAATGGTTGCCAGAGCCTGCTCCCAAGAGAGGTTGGACTTCTATTTTCCATCCCCAATTTTGAGGAAGACCATCCTGGGGTCTCCTACCCCTCTTCTCTCCCACCAATCCACACGAGAGGACTTTTGGCTTGCGGCATATTTAGAGTGCCGCCATGCCGCACCTACATCATACATTTACTAACATCCAAGTCTTCTGCAGAATTCGAACCGAGCTCTTCAGTACCGTAGTAGGCTTCGCTAACCACTACACCAGCTGGGCAACAGCAATTGCATTTACACTATAATTGTATAATCTAATTGCACTTACAATGTAATTGCAATTATACAAACTAATTGCACTTACAGTGTAATTATAATAGTGACTGGAGTACATAATTATAATTATTTTATTAGGAAAGTAATTGCCTCTGATAATTTCAGCTACATAGCCTATGGAAATCATGATCATAATTGAAAATATATTTGAAATGGTTCACCATTTTCGATAACAAGTTGTTAAGTAATAAAAAGGGATAATCATCTATAAGAAAATAGTAACAACATAAATTATTAATTAATCCTCTGGAAAATACTACATATATTTTCAGTAAATGTTTAAAAGAAGTATAGTTAAAGTGGAATATATTTACAAGAACTAATTTTAGTTGTTTCATATAGAACTAAATATGCATGGCTTTGTTAAGCAAATATGTGTGTTTATGGTGTTCTTTGACAAATGTGTGGATTTGAATTATTTGATTAAAGGAAAGAAATTAAAGACTATGCCTATGGAATGGGATGCCATTGTGGAGGATTTATGCAGGGAACCTTTTTAAATTTAATTTAATTTAATTTTAATTTTTTATTACACAAGAAACACATCACAATTTTTAACAGACCTAAACTAATTTTCATAATCTTATCCAATTGAATCCCTGTTCGCCTGTTGAAAAATGACTTTGATCCATAATCATTCAGCATAATTGCTATGGATATTAAAATTTTCAGAAGCAGTATTGATTGTGAACTAGTTTATTATTAAATACAACATAAATTTTTAATAAATCATAAAAAAAGTTATTTACTTACTACTGTAAAGTCAATACACCTGTGTAATCTATCTTCATAGCTTCAGATAAAAATGAACAAGCATAATTTTATCAAGTGCCTGTAGGTGATTGTTCAGGCAGAAGGTTAGAATTTATGAGTTATGGCAAGTTCCTTCCAAGTTTCAGTGCATATAGGGGTGCGAATTTACCTCTTTGCCTCGGATGAAAAAATATGTAAGCACAGCTGCAATTATGAAATTGGCTTTTTTTAAATATAACCTACATTTTTAAAAAATGATTAAAACACATAATTTTTTATGAGGAAAAGCATCTGTCTGAGCTTTTGAGGTAAAAGAAAAAATAAGTGTAATGTTATTAAGAAGTGTCTGAAGATAACAGTTGCTGGCAGAAATATTACATTATTTTCTACCTAAGAACATCCTATTCAGTTAATATCTGAACTGAATCTTGTAGTAATGATATTAACTATGAATTAGGCCTTTATTAAAAAATCATATTTGAAATAAATTGTTAAAGTAAGTTTTACTGCAAGCAAATTGCTTAAGCAGGAGATATTTCAGATAAAAATAAATATATTTACATTTGTATATGAATCGATTGTTTGTTTAACTGAATGCAGCAAAGCACCTAAGGGTAAGGATGTCTTCATGGAGGATTTTTAAGGGAAATTTAAGGAAAAACTGTTTTGTATTTATGAAAGGAAAAGCATGAAGATAGTCAAACATAGAGATTATCCTCTGGAATTTGAACCCAAACTGATCTACATCTATAAAAAAAGTTGTAACTACTCAATTAGTGCTGCGCCAAAAATTTAATTGCTTTTGCAATCATATTGTAATTCCAAATGCCATTACATTATAATTTCAGTTATGGCTGCACTATTTATAATTTTAATTATTTTTACTTTAAAGTAATTACAATGAATTACAACTTTTTCGTTCAATAAAAGATAGTATTTTGTTTCCCAAGGACAGTATTCTATATCATAAGTAAAAATAATACCCCTTTCTCAAGGTGTTATAAACCGCTAGTGCTAATAAATTGAAATGTAATTACCTTGTAATTCTAGTTAATATACATACAGTATAACTGCAGCTATAATTTTATTATTATTATATTTGTAATTGTATTTTAATTTTAATTATAAATAATGCAATTACAATTACATTGTAATTGAATTAAATGCTATTATAATTATATTGTAACTGTAACTATACAATTTATAATACAATTGCATTGTAATTGTAGCTGCAATTATATTTTAATTACAAGTATAAGTGATTGCCATCACTATTTAATTAATTACATTGTAACTGAATTGCTTATATTTGCAATTATATTATAATTGAATTATGACCAACTCTGTGCAGATCTTTTATATCTTTTGTGTATTTATACACTGTAACTCGGAATTTTGTTTTGAAAGCTAAAAAAATAAAGCAAAACTGAATTTCAAGTCATTCAAAAATATAAAGGGACAATTAAAAATTTTCCAAATTAAAAAGAATGACCTCAAATTTTTCCTTCAGAACAGAAAAACTGAATAAGCAGAGAAGTGATAGGATATTGAAATACACATTTAAATCATGTTTAAAATTTTGGTGTGTCTGATATCTTGGATATTTATAATGTTTTCATAAGAGATTGAAATAAGCATATTTTGCAGAAAATTAATTTTAATATAATACATATATATATAGTTAGAATTAAAACTAAACAGACAAGAGAGAAACAAGCAAGAGAATAATATAACCTAAATTGAGTAAATTAATGGTATTGTAAATTTAAAAAATAAAAAATTGTTTTTAATTAATACTAAAAATAAAGTCAAAATAATATTTGCTATGTCAAATTAATTAAATATAGTGGTAAAAATGACAAAAAAAAAAAAAAAAAAAAAAAAAAAAGGAATCTTCAGACCCTTATGTTGTCAAGAAGAGGTAAAGCCTTCTTATGACAATGCATTTCTTATGGGCAGATTTATTCTGTTTCTGCAAGCCTAAAATTATCTGAGGATATAATAATTGTCTGAGGACTTAATAATACAAATACTTTCAGTATCCCTGAAAATTAAAAACTTCTCCCCTACAGAACAAATCTAACCCACACAAATAAAAAACGAATTCTATAGTATCAGTCCTATAAATGAGAATAGAAGTGAAACCTTTTCAAATAAAGATTAAATAATATAAAAGAATAAAATTCCTAAGATTTGTTTATTCTATTATACTTTGATAATAACTTTTTAAAAAATTATAGCATAATTATATACAACAAAAGAAATAATTACAAGAGTGAATACAGAGCCAAAATATAATAACTTGCTTTTCGTTGAACTTTTGGTTAAACAACTGTCCATTAGAATCTGGAATTTTTGAGAGAAAGCTCTAAGGAATATGCAGTAGGGATGTTTTTGGTGAATTTGTATTCTCGCCAATTTATATATATATGTGTGTGTGTGTGTATATTTCATCTCTTATAATGGTTAAAAGTCATCACCATATGTCATTTAATTATTTCGTATTTACAGTAAAAAGTGTGTGCATAATATTCGAAATGACTTTTAGAAAAGTAATTTTAAATGTTATTACATGAGTGTACAATTATACTGTACAATTTTTTATTATTTTTAATTATTGTAAAGCACACTAAAATCATTTAAAATTTTTTCTGTTTTTATGGAGCTTATTAAAATATCATGTCCTACTTTTAGCCACAATTTAAGATAAATATAATTGATTAGTGAAATATCTCTGTTAATACAAGTTAATACATATGTTTGAATTGTAGTGGAAGTGTTACAACTGCAAAGAAGGAAGTTTATTTAGATGACACAATTTTAAGAAAATTTCATGTTATCTTAAGGAAATAAAGCTCTTTCCTCCCCATTAAAAACCAATAAAACAGACTGTGATTAATTATCCTACCACCAATAAATTTTCATTCTTAAGCAAATAGAAATATAATACTTCATTTAATTTTTGTCTAATTTAGAATTCTCTTAATGTCAATAGTATTTAATTTTTGCTGTCATTCATTTTTAATCTTTATGCTTAACAATTACATTTTCATTTTTGTGTTTAAGTGAATAATATCTTGGTATCTGGAATATTTTTTTATACTTTCCTGAAATTAATTTCTTAATTTCTTTCTTATGTAAATTGTAATATTTATATGTTTTAGTCCTGAAGAGAGATTGAAGCAACTGGAAAAAAAAGTTTTGGAATTGTTAGAAGAAAGTTGCATTGCTGCAGGTTCAGGAGAGTTAAAACTAGTTAGTATTTATTTTATACATGCCATAAATATGCAACTTTAATTTTAGAGTAATGCAGTTTTAGTTGTGTTTGTATTATAGGCATTAGAAAAAGGCAAAGAAGCTGCAAGTAAAGAAAGAGCTCTCACTAGGCAAAGAGATCAACTTGCTTTAGAAATAACACCAAACATGGATTTAACATTTTCTGTATGTGTAGTTGTATTTTCTTAAAATTTTTGTAGTTATATTAGTGCCAAACTCAGTATCAAAATAAATTATTATAATTTTTTCCAATATGCAGGTATTGCTTAATCTAGCCACTCAATATGGAAACAATGAAATGTATGGAGAAGCACTGAATACATATCAGATAATAATCAAAAACAGATCTTTTAGCAATGCAGGTAATTGATATGGCTTGTGTTTGAACTATATCTAATATTATTATTTACTATATCATATTAATATTAACTTTGTGTAATGCCATAAACTTTTATTCTTTCTTTAGGTCGTCTCAAAACAAATATGGGAAATTTATGTTTCAATCAGGGAAATTATCCTAAAGCAATCAAATTTTATAGAATGGCTTTAGATCAAGTTCCTAATACTCATAGGGATATGAGGTAATGGTTTTGAAAAAAGAAATTAAGTTTGTATATTTTTGTTTTTCTAAATATAAGTTTCACACAATTTTTTAATTGCAATATTAATTATCATTTGGTCAATAAAAAAAAGTATAGTGATCTGCTCATAATACTCACAAATGATAAGAGTTGAATAATTTGATGATAATGAATTTTTACATTCAGGAAATGGTCATTTCTTGAGCACAGTATTTCTGAAAACTGTATTTATTACATTTTCTTTGAAAATAGATTATAAATTAAATTTTAAATCTAGGGAAAATATTTTAGAAGGGATCAACTTTTCATTGTCTTAGCAAGAATTGCTTACATTTATCTTATATTTGAAGCAAACTCCAAAATTTATAGTATAAGCTTTATTTAATGAAAAACTGAATCACTTTTATTATGTTCTGTATTTTATTTACAATGCTAAAGATAAAATTAATGTAAATAAATAACAAATTAATTAATATTAATAAAATATTTTATTATAAATTAGGAGAAAAATTTTGGGAAATAAAACTTGCAAGAGAAAGAAAAAAATTTCATTATCTTTTAATGAGGGTCAAATAAATCTTCAGCTTTCTGTTATATATAAGTTATCAAATCAAATCAAAGTATAAAAAATACAAATAAAAATATAATTTAAGAGCAAATTAAGAATTAGTATCTTTGGGTTGGAAAAGTATAATTAAGTAAATACTATTAAAAAGGCAAAAAAAAAAAAAAAAAAAAAAAAGTCAAAGACTTATTTTTAACTTACCTAGTATTTTTATAGTTTAATTAAGTTTCAAGGTTTAAATTCATTTTTTACTTGTTTAGTTGTAATTTAGTATGATTAATTAATTATTTGAAGTCAATCTTAGCAGAAGTTGTGTAGGATAATTATTCTGAAAGTTCTATTTACTATTATTTTTTTCAATTTTAATAGTTATATATATATATATTTATTATTATTATTATTTTAAACAAATGTCTGAAAATGGTAATTCTTGATGTTAAAAGTGTAGCAAAAGAGACAGAAGTGTATTTTATTTACCAGAATTGTATTAATTTTGCTGAGTAACATATTATTAACCTCTTGAAAAAAATCCTAAAGAAGGTTACATTTGTTCTGAAAGGAAAGAAGGAACAAAAAGCCACATTTCCCCACCCAATCCATTTAACATTTATTAGAATGGAAATATTGTAATCATTTAAAAATTGTTTGTTTTTGTCTCTTATTAACAAAGTTTTAATTTAAATCATTATTTAGTTATTATGTTATTTACATGATAAAGTAAAAAGTTAATTTTATCCCTGTTATCATAAATTATTCAGAAACTATGATTATAGCCACAGAACAATAAATTTAACTTATGGATTTGTTAGGTTTTAAAAAAGAGCAACTGCTATAAAGATATGTATTAGTATTTACTAATAACTGAATTTCTTCAATTTCAATTATTTTTAAAACTTTTTTTATTCTACACTGGACCTTACTTTTCAGCAATTAGTTTCTGTCAAGTCTCAAAACGAGCAAAAAATTAACTATAAAATTATCATTTGCACTGTCATCAAGATCATAGCAACTGTAGAAGCTTGTTGCCAGTTGTATGCCAGCCATCCCACATAACAAGCATATTTGTGGATTATCCAAGCAATACAATAGAGATGTTTTGTAGATAGTTATGACCAGATATGAAACAAAAATTTGTCACACCCATAGCTCTAGGCAGACTATGGATATCCGGAGTCTTCAATAAAGAAAACCAGGACTTCTCCCCAGCTAATTCTTAGAGTTTGGCTGATGTACACTGATGCTGGACTTAATTTTTAAAGTGAAGTATTTAAATAATGCTTTGTGCAAATTAGTGTTAAAATTTTCTTTATAAATTACTTACCACCATTTCATTATTAAATTAGGTTCAAGGAGCAGTGTGTTCTGTATTTTTGTGAAATGTATGCACTTTCATATAATCTGACAGATATTTGCTTATTTTATGTATGTTTTCTTATTTTATGTATATGAAACGGTGTAACATTTTTATTCATGTTAGAATATTTTTGCTGTATTAATCATCTTTGTATAGTTAATTTTGAAAGCCCCATGGCAGTTTTTGTTGTTGATATTTTGAATTAAGTTCAAAAATTGATTCAAATTTCAGTTCATGAAAATGTATGGCTTTTTTCTTTATATCATTTTCTCTTTATCTTAGCTATTATAATGTCAATATTTATAGTAAAAATTAATGATTACATTTTCAGTTTTTAAATTGCAGGATTAAAATTATGAAAAACATTGGACTCGCTTTTGTTAAGCTTGGCCAATACACTGATGCTATAACATCATATGAATATATAATGGCAGAGAAAGCAGATTTTAGGACTGCATTGCATCTTCTTTTATGTCACCATGCTCTTGGGGACAAAGAGAAAATGAAAAAAAGTTTTGTGAAGCTGCTAGATATTGTTTTGGATCACGTTGAAGATGAAGATAAATACTCAGCTACTTCTGTAAGTACTGATCAGGCATGTTAAAGTATAGTATAGAAGATAAAAATTGTGCACAACTTTAGAAACAGGTTTGGGCGAATTTTATAATTTTATATATTTAAGATAATCAGAGAAAAATTATTAGTTTAGGCCTAAAAAGTAGGATAAATAATAAATTAAAGCACATTAAAGATGTTAATTTCATTTTAATGTTTTTATAGCATGAAACAAAAGGTTTGTAAAGTGACATATAAAATTTATTTCCTATATTTGTCAGATGTCTGTTTTACAGTAGGCTGGTTTAAAATCTTAACATATTCCAGCTGAAGTTTTCCCAATTTTAAATTGATATATACAATCATTACTACCCTATAAGTTTCACAATTTTGTTATTCTGAATATTTCAAATACTTTTCTCTTAAAGGTAAACATTCATTATCTGGTTCTTTTAATGTTCTGTGTATTATTACCCTGATTAAAATTTTTTTGGTTGAATTTAAAACATTGTCAATCAATATCTGACAGACTATGTATGCTTCAGGTATTGTTGAATATTAAATCAGTAGAATTTTATTTTCCTACTGTGTTACTCTTGAACAGCATCTGTATTTGAAAGTTCATTTTTATGCCTTTTTTTCTTCTTTATCTCTATTTAGGATGACCCTCAAACAAATCTTATTGTTGAAGCCATAAAAAATGATTCACTTCGTAAAATAGAGAGGCAGAGGTGTGTATGCAAGAATTTTCTGTTGATAGATTAAATTACATATTAAGTATGGAGAATAATTTTTTATTAATTATTGCAAACAACATTGTGTATTTTTTATGCTACATAAGAGAAATTCCTTAACAATAATGAATGGTGTATTTGTCCCATACACTGAAGTTATATTTTGCTTTATATAAAATTGTATTTTTTTCTAATAAATAGTTGTCATGAGTATCTGTACAAATCAAAAATTTCTGTTGATGAAAAATCTAAAAATTATTGATTTAAAGTTATGATGATGACAGTAGTAATAGCATTGCACAAGACAATTAAATTTAAATAAAATTAAGTTTTAATAATTTTATTTATAGGAAACAAGAAGCAGAGTGGACAATCCTAACAGCTGCTAAATTGATTGCTCCAGTAATTTTAGACACTTTTGCTGCTGGTTATGAATGGTACTGTCCTTAATATACAGTATCACTTTCTGTAAGAATAATCCATTCGAAGACTAAATGTAACTTTCCAGAATAAATTTCAAGTTAAAATGTTTTTTTCATCCTGTATGCTTAATATGCAGTAAAAATATTCTGTATGCTTAATATGCAGTAAACACAATAAAAAAGTTTTCACCATTTCACTTAAATATAAATTATTTATAAAAATTATACTTCTTGATTTAGGAATCTTTTTTTATTATTATTATTTTGATTGGAATACTGTGTACTTGTTTAAAACTGGTTACTCACATTTTTTCATAGTACTATTATTTCAAAACTATATACAGTTGTTCCCATTGATAAGCTTTAATAATTAAAAAAAATTCTAATTAAATGCTTTACTTTTTATAATATTAAAAGATAAAAATATTTATGCATATGTAATTATGTATCCTCATTTGTAACATGTTGTCACAACTCTTCTGTTTGTCAGTAGCTGAGTTATAAAGTCACTGAACACAGGTCTTTCTAAATATGAGTATACATTTTAAAATTAAAAGGAACTTGAATGTTTTTTTTAATATTTAAATCACAAAATATTGTAGAAATTATGTAAATGAGTTACTTTGATTGTGTGACAAAATTTGTGCAGAAAATGACACGCATTATTTTCTTCTTCATTCAGCTCAGTTGATCTTCTGGGGAGTTTGATCTTTTGGGGAGGATCTTCTGAGGCAAATGATGGTTTCAGAAGTTTTAAAGTTTAGGTTTACATTTTCTTTGAGGTTTCCCATTAAAACGATCAGCATTAAATCTGAAATATGTTATGCAATCAAATAATAGTTTCTTCTTGTAGAAATATTGTCTATTGATCTGAAAGCTTTAGTGTTTTCAGCTTTGTGTTACTAATACCAATGACCATCATAATGACTTAACATTATTAGGAATTTTATGATGCAGTTTTCCTGTTAAAGCCATCAAAATAAATAAAGTCCCCCAAATCATTAATTTTTATTTTATGCTTCAATATAAAATGTAATGTTTTTCCAAGTATGATTATAACATGGAAATATATTTTCCTTGGAAAAGATAAACAGTCATATGAAAAGAACAAGAGGCTTGCAAATTAAAGACAAATTTACAAAGGGTTCAAATAAAATCTCTGGTCGGAAACCATTAAAGCTTACCACTGGTCATACTCTATATTTGATGATTCAATATCTGCGATTTTATTTATCTGTGATTCAGAGTAGCAGAGGGGAAACTATTTAAATACTGTAATGTTCTCTGGGTCACCTCATGTGTATTCTTAAGTTACAAAAAGCCATTTATATTTCAAGTTCCAATTTCAACTTGATGGTCATAAATATGTAAATGGGCAATTTCAACTATTGGTGGTTCAAAGAATATTTGACTTGTCTTCATTATCCATAACCATACTTTTCCTTTTTAAGCTATCTTTCCTTCTTCTCTCTTCACCCTATCCTCATTTGTAACATGCTATCACAGCTCATCTGTTTGTCAGTAGCTGAGTCTTTAAGTCACTGAATACAGGTAATTTAGTCCAGCTTCAAATCCCTGAACAGGCTGGTTGCATCGGTTTGTAAGCTACTTCCTGATAAGCTATCAAGATCAAAGATCAAATTTTGTGCACACATTTTTTTTTCAATGACAGTACAATGTGGTGAAGAGGTGTTTCTTCCCCCCCCCCCAAAATCCAATTTAGTTTTCTTTTATTTAATGCTTAAGCTACAGAGCTAAAAAAAAAAAAAAAAAAAAACTTCAGAATTTTGTTGTTTAGTACTATTCAATACAACAGGAAAAATAAAAATCTTTTCAATGAAATTTATAACTTAATTTAACAAATTTTTGAAAATTGCTGGATTTTTTTAGACTATTTGATGTTTATGATTTTAAAATTTTAATGCCTAAAAATGCATCCAGTACAAAGTTTAGAAATTGTCACAGATTATAAAACAAAGTCTCTTTTAATACAAGAATGATGATAAATTATTAATTGAGCAATTTTTTACATTTAAAAAAATGTATTTTAATTTGAAGCAGGCAAAATTAAAAAAGGGTTTTGAGTTTGCCATCTTGACACTCTTAATGATGAATTGGTAATATTTTTTTTTAATTTTAGCTTTAAGTAAAATACTTGTTACAACAATGTTATTACATCCAATTTCCAAAACTGAATATTCAAAGCAATTCCTTTATTCTCTGAATAACATTCAGTTCCTAATTTCCTTATAATTTATTGCTCATGTTTAATAATAACTAAAAATGTCATCTTTGATAACGTATAATTTTGACTTGAAAAAACAGAAAATAAAGTACAATTAAAAAAGGCTTTTATACTATATGTTTTTATTTAAAATGGATATAATAATTAATCCACTAAAAGGAGCAACATAATTTATCATGTAGCTTATGGAAACAGTAGATTAAATAATTATATTTATAGAATTCATCTACAATTTTACATCATGAGTAATGAAAGCATGGGCACCTAAATAACGAAATCTATTAATTTAATTGCATTATCAAATGTCATTCTCTTTCTAAATTTTTATTAGTTTAATTGCATTGTCAAATGTATACACCATTATCTTTTTAAATTTTTTTATGAATTTAATTGCGTTGTCAGATGTTTATCCCATTTTCATTATATATTTATCATGAACACCCCATGCTTTTATTATTCACAATATAAAATGATAGATGAATTCTGTAAATAGAATTATTTAATCTGTTATTCCCATTAAACTATATGATAAATAGTTTTTCTCCTTCTAGTGCATTATCATATCCATTTTAAATAAACGCTTATAATATGAAAACATTTTTTAATTGTATTTTGTTAGAAATAAGTTTTAATTGAAAAAAGGGCATTTTGGAGTAGAAGCAGTATTTAGTTAAAGTTTTTGTCATTGGTAAATTGGAAATCTGTTAGAATAATAAGTTGTACCTACAATGCATAAAATATAATGTCCATATCAAATTCTAAAAAAGGTGTTAGTAACTGTGAGTAAAAATATTATTGTCACAATGACCAAAGATAGTAATTGAATTTAAGCTTTTATATAACAAGAATTAAGTTAATGACAAGCTGAAGCATTACTGAAGATCAGAATCTTTGTGTTAAGTTCTGTTGCCTTCCTAATACTGGTTACAAGTAAATTCTAACAAATTGTGATGTTTTTAATTCAAAATGGAACAACTAGGATGAGAGGCAACCACTGTCTCACTTCAAAAAGTTGCCTTTACATAAAAATACTGTTCCTATTGAGAAAAATATATTACTTGAAGGCTTATTGGATGACAGATAGAGTTATAGAACTGAGATTTATTTAAAACTGGACCGCATTAAAACTATGCACTAGTGTGAAATATATGCAAAATACCTGACAAAAGTACAGAGGAGATTAAGAAATTAGCATATAAAGTATTATAGAACAATGTTGTACTATAATACTTGATATTATTAAAATACAGTATTTTTATTATATTGCAATTATTATGATATATTATTATAATACTTTATATGAATTCTCTTTTTATTTTAAAATTTGGTCACTTTTCAAATTTGTTATAACTCTTGTATTTTATGGAATGTTATAAATTGTTTTTGTATTTGGTGCACCTTACAAACTAGTTTCATAATATCATTAAACTGCACATTATCTAATATAAAAAATTCAGTGATTTATGCTAGGTTACTTTCTGTAGGTGTGTTGATCAAATTAAGGTATCACCATATGCAGATCTGGCTAATGATCTTGAAATAAATAAAGGCAGTAACTTATCTCCGCAAACGAGAATTTAACCAGGTAATTGTGATAAAAGTTGTATAAATTCAAAGATATATCGAATCACAAAAGTGATTAAATTATTAAAATATTTCAAAGCATTTTTTAGTATTAAAAAAAGCAAGAGAGAATGATTAACCATATCATAGTTTAGTATTTTGAAGTGGAGAACTGACAGACAGCTTAATGTGTTTTTAAGATAGTAATTAAATATTAACTATGACATGAATACACTTTTGGTTTTAGTTTCTTCTATTATATATATGTATATATATATATAGAAAGAGAGAAACTGTCTATCTATTTCTTATATATATATTGTTATAGGTTTTGTATAAATTATGTTAGTGAAATTATACATAAAATTGAGGTATCTCTCATGTAACGTAATGTAAAATACTTTAAGAAAGCGAAGCTTTGCCGGAAAAATAAGATTACAGGAGCAAGTCTGTTTAACATTGAGGTAAATGGTTATATCGCTAAATTGGCGACATATCCTCAAACTGACAAAGGTTTTGGCGACTAATTTTGTCGCCAAAAGTCGCTAAATTTGGCGACCATTTGACAATATTTTGGTTTGATAACTTGTAATTGATTCCTATGTGTAACTATAACCGTATCCGTGTCTTAATGTAACATTAACTCTATATGCCTAATATCGAAAAATGGAAGGTACTAGAGATTCCTCGAATAACGAAATCTATTAATTTAATTGCATTATCAAATGTCAAATTATCAAATGAGGGAAAATTATATAATATCTCAGATATTATATAATAACAGAGAGAGTGTCAGTTCTTAGTTTTTAGTTCAGAGTTAAATCTCTGTGTGAGCTTTGCTCTTTGCATTGCATTCTGTTTAACATTTTTAGTAGTTTAAGGGGGAAACTACTGATTGTGCTATGTCATACTGAGATGAGTTGTATAAGATGGAAAGTTCTAGAATTTTCCACAAAAAAATTTATTTGTGAAAATAAATTTTATCCAGCTGTCATCAGTTCTGTGAGCATTCAGTCCACTACAAACTGTAAGCATGCAACAATATGTATAGATATCAGTATGTTTTTGCTTACTAATTACCTAATGTAGTACACTGACTACCAATAAGTATTTGGACACCTATGCAAATGACGATATCTGCGGTCCTAAGGTACGTCACGGACTCCGCCGGTATATATCGTGTAGGAAACAGCATCGGCTTTAGTCGCATGCAAGATGCCTCGCAGTTCGGAGCTCTCTGATTTCGAGAAAAGTATAATTATCGGGTATCACAAATGTGGCCGATCCTTAAGGGACATATCTAGTGATCTGAAGTACCCAAAATCGACAGTGGCGTATGTGATTAAGAAGTGGAAGGTGAGCGGTGATTGTCGGAATCGGCCCCCAGTCGGCAGACCAACGAAACTGGGAAATAGAGACCGACGAGTGCTGTCCAGAGAAATTTGGAAGAACCGCACCCAACCGACAGCCTCATCCGAGAGGAGCTTCAACAGGCATCCGGGAGTATTGTTTCAATGAATACCATCCGTAAGGAAGCACATCTGCTTGGTTTTCATGGTCATGCTGCTGCCCATAAGCCTTTCATCACGTCCAACCGTGCTGTTCGGTTAATGTGGTGCAAAGCACATCGAAATTGGACCGTAGATCAGTGGAACCGTTCGGATGGCAGGGTCTGGGTCTGGCGTCTACCTGGAGAACGTCTCCTGTCAGAATGCATTGAGCCAACAGTTAAGTTCGGCGGAGGTGGAATTATAATCTGGGGGTGTTTCTCCTGGTATGGGCTGGGACCCTTGGTCCCCATTCATGGTAAGCTCAACTCCGATGCCTACTGTACTATTTTGGATGACAATGTGCTTCCTACGTTGTGGCAGTTTTACGGGTTGGACCCCTGTTACTTTCAGGACGACAATGCCAGTTGTAATGTTTCGACGTTAACCAAGGCTTGGTATGGTGCCAATGGAGTTTATCGAATGGACTGGCCTGCCCAGAGTCCAGACCTGAACCCTATCGAGAACCTCTGGGACGAGTTGCATCCCCGAATTCAGGGGTGCACTACGCGTGCAAAATCGGTAAAGGAACTTCTATGTCTTCTCCAAGCCGAGTGGAAGAAAATACCACTAGCTGTCATACAAAGACTTGTGGAAAGTATGCCCCGGAGGGTCCACGCTGTAATTACCTCTCGTGGAGGCTCTACCAACTATTGATTTTGAATAAAGTTAGTTTTTCTTTTCTATCACAGGTGTCCAAATACTTATTGGTAGTCAGTGTATTAGTAGTCTTGGGCTGTATAGCTTCAGCATTTTAAGTTTCATAAGATGATTTTTAAATATCATATTTTTTGCCCTAAATTACTCCATTATGGTTCCTGGGTTTTTAAACAATGGTGTAATGTGACTTTATTATTATTATTATTATTATTTTCCTTCTATAAAATAAAACATATCATGGCTGACTAAATGCTCATTGCTTGGGAACTCATATTTATGTATATACAACCATAATATAAATATCAGGCTTATTGCTTGATAGTTCCATCTGAACTATTTTATTAAACTTATATCCTATCATAAATCCTTGTTTTACTTTCACTCTCTTTTATATTTTTTTTATTGTCATAATATATAACTCAGTTATTATGATAATCTAATCTATTTAGCTTATATTAGAACATTTCATCGAAGATAAAATGCACTACATCTTCTTCATGAAATAATGATGTGGAATTTCATTACTTTATCCATCACTTAAATTGAAATTAAGCTGCTCCAAAGCTCTCCATTTAAATAGTAGCCATATCCACTTATGCTTAAATATAGACGTATATGCATGGCCAAGCTAAACTGGTCAATAATAAAAAATACACAATTTTAATATTTAATGTATAATATCTAGAACCGAAATTGGAAAATTTAACAGATTGTTGATTTATATTTCAAATATATGCCATTAAGCATTCACTTTCTTTCTGCTATTTTAAAGTTTTAAAGCAGTATCTAAAATGATATCCTATTATGAATAAATCAAAAGGATTTATGATTAGTATTATTTGTAATTATTTTGTTTGCTATTAGTTGAATTAAATATATTGAAATATATTTTAATTAAAGAAAGGAGAACAAACTAAAAAGAAATATATTTTAATATGTAGCAAGAAAAACATTAGCATATATGTTTCTGTAATAGAGTTGTTTTTATATTATTAATAGGCTATAGAAACTCTGAAAGCATTCGAAAGAAAAGAAACTAAAGTTGCAAGCACTGCTGCAACTAACTTAGCTTTCTTATATTACTTGGTAAGAACATTTTTAGTAAATTATTTTGCTTGGAGATAATTAGAAGTTAACAATTCTAAAATCTTTAATAGAGAAAGCTAATTCATTTTTTATGTTCTTATTAATAAAATACTAAAAATATCTGATTTAAAATTATCATTAATTTCAGTATACTTATTACATCCAATTCTAGGAATTATTTGATAAATTTTTGAAATTTCATTCCTATGTATATAGCAAGGTGATATTTCTCAAGCAGAAAAATGTGCTGATCAAGCTATTATTGCAGATCGCTATAATGCTGGAGGTAAATATGCATGAATAAATTTTCATTATTATTTCAAGATTGTATTTTAAAATATTACAAAAATTATAGTTTATCTTAAATTATTTACGATAAAATCATATTTCTTGAAATATTAATTTATTTTCCTTGCTTTAAGGTTTTTATTTATTTAATTTTTCATTTTTTCAACTTTTAATATTCTGTGAATGTATTTTCATATATATTTTTCTATACATATATATACATAACATAGATAAATAGGCACACATAATACACACACACATATATATATGCATATACATAAAAGGATTGCATAATTATTAATAGTAATCTCTTTAACTTTGCAATGAACTGCTACTTGTAAGGAAGGATTACAAATACAAAATTAATGAAGGTTATTAATAATTATTTTTAATCCTTAATTTAAGCACAAAAGTTCAGCTTTAAAATATCAAAATCACAAGTCAGAAATAATATGAGAGAGAAAAGTTTTTCAAAAAACAAAGAATTGGAAAAAGGGCACTAAAAATATTTAAACTCTAGTAATATAATTAAAATGCATATTAAAGATGTACAACCTAAGAAAAAATTCATGATAAATTCAATGTACCTGAAAGCCCATTTTAATATTATGAAAAGCTTATTTCTTAAAGCATCGAAAAGTAAACTGTGTTAACCATATTGCTGCTACATCTTCATGCATCTACATCATGGATACCAAAATGGTATAGAGAGACAATAAAATGAAAAATCAAAATTATAGAACATAACTTAAGGCACATAAAGCTGCAGTAAGATGAAATGATATATGTAGATGAAGTTTCCTCATCCAAAGCCAGTGGATAATTTACAATAATATGTGAAAACGAGAATAAATATAGTGATATATTTGAATATTAGAGTAAAAAAAAATTATGAAAAACTGAAATAAAAGGAATTACAGATATATAAAAGATGAAGTTTAAAAAGCATAATATATAACATGCAATTATGAAACAGTAAAATCCACATATTTTTGCTTAATTTAAACTCTATAGGATTAACTTTATAGGATAGAAGAGATGATGGAAAATAACATAAAAAGAAACTAAGCATAAGTAATGGACAATGAAATTTTACTTTTAATTAAATATTTCTGTTTATTCTTTCAAAAACTAAATTTAAATTTCTATACATATATACGTATAGGTACATATATGTGTGTGTGAGTGTAAATGCACATATAACATTTGTCAAACTGCCCCATACTAAACTACTGCATTTAAAAATCCTGTTATGTGGCCTTAAAGAACATGATTGTTGATGATATTTAGTATTCAGTAGTTATTTAAATTTTCTAAATTACTGATCTCTTCCAAAGTTGGTTACCATAAGAAGTTCACTATACTACCGTACAAAGTCTGAAATCCAGATGTTCAGTATTCAGAATGATTTAAAATCTGGACCTCCAGATCACCTGCAACGTCTTCTATATATATATATCTATATATGCTTCACGCTTGTGCATTTGATATTTCTTCAGTATGTGAAGAGTCCTGATTCTTAATTTTCACTTTGATGCTTCATATTGAGAAACAATCATTTATTAACGTAAATCTCTGTGATCAATAATTTGTTTGATGCCTTAGTGCCTTTTTGTTTGGCATACATCTCAAACCAAAACACTGTACATCGAAACATCCTTTATTTTATACCTACTGAATAATTTATATCCACAATGCCAGGCTGGTGAATTATTATTTATTATTATTTGCTTTCATCATTGCATGGCTCTCAACACGCAACAGCCTGAGGAATGACTACTGGGAGTAATGTTTCAACATTTTTTTTTTAATATTAGCAATCAAATAAACCTTTTATGCTGATATTACACTTGGCGATGATTATAGACTTCAGCTAATACCTGTTCAAAGTGTTGGGTGTGTTGACGAGGAGAAATTTACCAGAAATTTCTTTGCATATGAAAAAAAAAAAAAAAAAAAAAAAAATGCAAATGATATTGTTAGGTCAAAAGATTACATTTAATGCTATTTGAATTCAGAATAACTGATTTGTTATTCAAATAAGCTCAGGACTGGTGCCAGAGTTGAAGCCGCTTCATCGGGTAGCGGAATTAAGGGGAGGCAAAATCTTTAGAATTTAGGGAGGGCACTGGGATGCAAAATTTAAGGGCGGCAAAATTTTTAGAATTTAGGGAGGCGGCTTTGCAGCAGAATTTTGGACCCACAGAGAGATATGGAAAAATTTATTTATTCAAGATTCAGATAAGCTTTAAGCATGTGCGGAAAATAAACTTAAGTATAATAAACTGAGCTAATATAATTCAGGCTTGACTTTGCAGGCGTGTGATAGAAGCAAGACAGAATTTAGCAGAACAACATGTCTTTAGTTGCTAATCTCATGATACAACATGATAGCTGAGGATAGCGGCCATGAGACAATAATGCCCCGGTCATCAGTCAACTAATGGACGGTGAAATTTGTAGTAAGGTTCTAAACCCAGAAAATATCGCTACCGATAGTATTTACAGAGAGGTTGTTGAGAACAAAGAAATTTCAATTTGCAGTTTGGTGGAAATTCAAGTCTTGAATAATGGAACTTTGTAACTGAACAAGAAAATATATCTCCTAATAGAAAGTGTCAACACATAAGACAAATAAATATTGAGCCTTTTTTTTGGGAGGGGGGTAAATTTTGTCATAAATGCTTCATTATTTCATATTTTTAATTTTATACATTCTGCATGTCATCTTACTAGATTTAAAGCAATGATCTATTATCATGGATAATGGAATCATGATCTCAGACTTTGCACTGTATTAAGAGTAATAAAAAATGGAAGTTTTATTGCAATTAGTTGTTTCTGGTGCCTAGAACTGGCTGTAAGCTTGTGTGGCATAGGCAGCTTCCTAGGTGACTAATTTTTGCAAGGCATCAACTAGGTTGTTTCCATAAGCCATAACTAAATAAAATTACATTTCGCTTTTAATTATTTATATGTTTAATTTATGCTGGGTGCCAACTCTGCAGATCTGCATTTTCATTTCCTAAAACATGAGAAATGCTGGACCTTTGCTTGCTCACACTGTAATGCTACTTATTGCATCCTGAACATATGCCAAATATCTTTCATTTTTGGTCATTATTACTTATGCATGACTATTAATGGGTTCTAAACAGAATGAAGATTGTGATAAAAAACACAATACTTACACATTCTTATTGCAAGGTGCTTCTTTATCTATGGCTCATATATTCATAGCAATAATGTGCAATCAGGTGGAAGAAAGCTAAATATAAATAATACAATCTTTTATATTTAAAAATATGGTCTTGTAATCTTTTTCTTGGCAAAATATCATTATTATTTGTTTCATTTGCTTAAAAAAATATATTACAGTAGTATTACAAGAAAAGCAGAAGTCATTGCTATGAAGGAAAAAAAATATAACTACTTTCTTGTCAATATCACGATGTTATATATAATTCATGCAACTAAATATTGTGTTATTTTCTTTATTTAAAGTATTGCTGTCAGTATTGTATATCTGAATATGTTCAAAGTGTGTGTTCTTTCTTAAAGAATGTATTAAGAATTCACTGTTAGTAAAACTTTGTATTTCAATAGGATCAAAAATATTTTTAGTTAGAGCAAGGCATTTGCTTTGTTTCAAATATGAGCATAAAATTAAGGTACTTCTGGATGAAAACTTCTAAGATATATTTTTCTGGCTGAAAGAGAAAAATATTGATTTAAAGCTATAATCCTGCTTATCTTCATAAATTTCTTTCTAAGACTTCTTTATAATGAAAATATGTTGGAAACTCACATGACAACCAACTCCTAGAAGAAGGAATGTTTCCAAAACTAACTTATATTTCTGAGACTGTAAATAACACTGATATTGAACATCTTGTTAGTCATACTTTCCAAGGCAGGGATAAGGAAACATGTTCGGTCGCGGGCCAAAAATCGAGAAAACAAATTAGGCGGGCCATGATAATTTTTCTAAAATTTTAAAAACAATATACAAGTATTGCAATTTAAGTATGTTAATGAAATTTCGATTTCATTTTTAAAAATTCCTTATATTGAGGTTCGAAGTGAGATGTACTGATTCTAAGGAATGAGGCTAAATGCTCATCTGTCAATCTACTTTTGAAATAATTCCTTCTAAGATTCGTAGTTGAAAACACTTGTTTACATGTATAAGGTGAAGCAAACGTACCGCTGATTTTCTGGGCGTGAGATATTAAATTTGGGAAACTTACTTTCGATAATGATATGTAAAACTCTGACTGAGGCATATTTAGAAATAACTGTTGAGATTATTGCTATATTGCAACTCAATTAATCCAAGCTGCAAATCTGACTTCACTGCTTCACAATTGACGTTGAAAGGCATGGTAAAGATCTCCAATTCCGTTTGAATGGCTGTAAAATCTTGAAGTCTGCGTTCGAACTCAAAATGCAGTTTTTTCAAGTCATCTTCATAATTTTCAAGCCATCTTCATAATTCTTAAGCTTCTCTTCATTTACTGAGGGTAATGAATTTAACTTCGGGAAATAAGACAAGTCGTTCTTAGCTAGCTGCCCAGCAAACAGATTAAGTATTACTTTAGAAGCTTTGAAATGTGCCTAGATATCGTCGATAATGGATTTTTCCATTGAATCTTGAAATTTAAGTTGCTCATATGACAAAGAAAGTCTGTGAAAAATGAAAATTCCGAAAGCCATTTTGTATCCTCTGACATTTCGCACTCCTCAGAACAGCGTTTCTCATGGAAGAATGACACAATGTCGTCTTTCAGCTGGCAAACTCGTTCGAAAACACATCCTGCACTAAGCCACCTTGCTTTCGTTTAATACAGTACATCAGAGTAATTCAAATTGCACGGAGTGAAGAAAATCTCGAAATTACCTATGAGTAATCCCACGAGATCGAATAATTTTTACAAGCTTCACGACTGCATCAAGCACGTGTTTCATATTCAATGCAGATTTACACAGAGCATCATG